GTTTTTTTGGTTAGTATTAAAGGGACCTCCTCTCTCTCTCTCTCTCTACATTTGTCTGAAACCTCTCGCTCTCAGCTTTTATAATCTTGCCTCTGATCTTACCTTCTTTCTTTATCCCATCGTTTCTCTCTCCACACCTCCTTTTTCCTTTTCTCTCGTCTGCATCGTCTCTCTCTCTTTTCATCTTGTTTCTCTCTTATCAGTCTCCCTCTTCATTTGTACAAACCTTCTCTTTCTTCATCTCTCCAAACCCCAACTTGCATAATCTTTTTCCGCCATTTCTTTAACTCTCATGCGCATCTTGTCGCTCTCTATCTCTCCTTTATCTTTCTCTCTCCTACCTGCATTACAATCTCTCTCTTCATCTTCTTTTTCTCTCTTATCTACGTCACCTACCTCTCTCTCTTTCTAACCTTCATTCTTTCCCCCAAGAAACCCTGACGAGCCAAGATTTGGCTTCCTCACCATCATCGCCATCATGGCGCACAAGCGCTCAACCTCTGAACCCACCTTCATTCTCTCCCCTCTTTGTTCCACGTACGACAAGTACAACTACAACAAGATCCATAAACCAATGCCTACGCCCAAGGAGCCGATGTCCACTCCCAAGCCCAACAACATCTACAGATTCCACTCCTTCGGACACCCAGGGTGCCCCGCCACCTTCTCAGGAGCCTTCCGAGACAACATGCGGGAGTTCTTGGCCCATTGGGCCCAATCCTTGGCTAATCAAATCGAGGGTAATCCCACTGGGCTAGCACACTTGGCCCTATCTCAAGAAACCCTAATCCTTCTCTATGTCATCGAGGAGGACGTCCGCGGTTCGCCGTGGCCCCACTGTGACCATTGTCGTTGTGTAGGTACGTGAAAATTACTCAGAATTGTTCTTGATTTCATTCTTTTTGTTTAGATTAGTGGAAATTAATTAGAATTATTGAAATCCTGGATTGGATTGGATCATGGCGAGAACTATCGATTTACGTCAGTGGAAGTAGCTGGATTGAAAACGAATCCTAGAAATCGATACTTTTCCTTGTATCACTTGGGAATCATTTTTTATCACTATATTGGGGTTTGATTGTGTGCGGTTTGTCTTTTTCTTTTTAAAATTATGGTGAAATTTGTCAAAATACCTATGAAGAATTTACAATTTAATGATATCTTTTGATTTATAGATTGTTTTAGTGCAAATGGGTAAACTGATGAATAATTCATCTTTTATAGGATTTTAATAAATTTTCTTTAATTGTAAATGAACTAAATACAAACAAATTATCTAATCAAATGAATGAAATAGATATATATGAATATAGGTATGTAAGGGAAAATTGCCCCAAGTAAATGAAAACAAAAAGATAAATATATACGGATATAGGCATCCGGTGTTGACGCTCTCTCTCTAGGTTGGAGCCACCACCTGGTCTCACGGCGTCGCTACCACTTCATAATCGTGGCCTCCGACCAATCCCTCTGCGTGCTACACAGCAGTACCCACCTCCTCCACTGCCTCATCCACTGCAACGGCTTCGGCCACCTCCTCTCCCTTAATGGCCGTGAAAACGGTTCCAAACACCTCTTTGGCCACCACTCTATGGGCCTCTGGGATCGCATTTGTTCCATGCTTTGCACCAGTTACATCATTTTTCGACCAAAGTTTGCCTGAATCTCATCATTTTCTGGGCAACATCACCGGATCCACTAATCTCTTTCTTTTTTACAGGAAGGTGACAGTTGAAGACACCGCACGAAAGCACTCTATGGAGCTGCGCCTCCTTCACAGTGCGGCCTATGCCCATCCATGGTTTTCGCAGTGGGGCTACAGCTTCTGCCATGGAAGCTTCTGCATAACAGAGCTCCGCTACTCGATGGCGGTCAAGATCCTGAACCAACTTCCCCTTGCCATGCTTGACCCCCAACACCAAGACGCCCACCTCCATCGCATCATTGGAAAATACAAAACGATATGCAACTCGACAATATCCACTCTGGGGCAGCTCTTGCGCGCCATGCTCCTGCTCAACGCCTGCCTCCCTTGGCAAAAGGCAAATGCGGCACCAACCATGAATGGGTCACAACTAGTGACCCCCTCAAAGTGCATGCTAAAGAAGCTCGACAATAATAAAGTGGTAGTGGAAGCCGGTGGTCACCCAAGCGGTTTGAGGCCGCTGCACATGTCGTGGCCAATGTCTTGGAGGCAAGCGGAAGCTCGCGATTGTCGCGCCAGGAGGTACGCGACCGTGCTCGCAAGCATATCGGGGAAACAGGCCTCCTCGACTTTGTGCTCATGTCGCTCAACAATTGCACGGTCGGCCCTCACCTCATTCGACGCACCATCAATCGCAAAACGAAGGTCTTAGAGTACTCGTTGTCGTTGGTATCCACCGAGCTCGACTACTGTGATGGTGAGGCGGCCACAAAAACCAGGAAAAGTAAGTCAGGAGACCACCCCCAAAACCAGATTCAGGTGGGGAGAAGTGAAGTCATGAGAGACCTTGAGTACGTGTACAAGAGGGTTTTGGAAGGGGGGTTGGGTGGCGAGGTTGTGGAGGCGGCGAGGCGCGTGGTCCTAGACACGAAGCACCTCACCAAAGAGTGGCCGATAAGCGACGACGATGGGAAGCTGAGGTTCATGGTGAGAATGGTGGTGGAGGAGGCGGGGATGTTCTCTCACGCGACTACGCCACCGGAGCTCGTGGTGCTCTCTCTCCACGCTTCAGTGGGCGACCTGCGTGCTGAGGCCGAGCGCACACTCCACGACACCTACTGCGTCATGGAGGGCTTTGTAGCGCAGGACCTGATCTGGCCTCACGGCCTGGTGGTCAGCGAGATGGAGCTGCTATTCCGCGTCAGTCGGGGATAGGGATGGGGGTGTGGGTCAGAGGAAAGGGGGCGGAGAGGGGGGCGGCGAGCCTGAAGTACGAAGGTGGGGCCAAGGAGTGGAGGGTGGAGTGCGAGTGTGGTGCGAGGGACGACGATGGGGAGAGGATGGTGGCATGCGACCTGTGCGAGGTGTGGCAGCACACGCGGTGCCTTTGCATCCCCGACGCCGAGGAGGTGGCGCACCTCTTTTTCTGCGACAGGCGCGCTGCTCTCTCCTGACATGCTCGCTCACAAGCTGTTGATCGTGTGATGGACTCCACTGTCGTTGTCGTTGTTTGAGGGGGCCAAGGACTCCTTGGCTTTGTATTTATAACATTCTTTAGAAAGGCAGCCTATTCAATATTTAACATTGGCTCAATGCGCCTGAATTTTTTAACCTATGGAAATAAAAGATGTGTTATATTGATATCGATCCTGGCATGTGTTCATATTTCAGCTCTAAAATTGATCAAAATTAATTTTTTTTTTAAAAATACTATATAGAATTCAAAAATCACAAATATAAAATTTAAAATTATAAAGGAAAGAGTTTATATTGGGTTGCAACCTTGAATTGTTTAAACCAGCGTTTTAAAAAACGCCGAGTCGAACCGGACTCGCTCGGTTCGACTCGAAAATAGTGAAAAAGGAACCGGATCGCCCAAAAATCGGAAATCGTCCGGTTCTAGAGAGAACCGGACGATTCTGTACAGTGAATCGACGATTCACTGTACGGAATCGGCGAGTCCGAACAGTGAATCGGCGATTCCGTATGGAATTTTTTTTTTTTTTTTTTTGGTAATCCATGATAGATTTTTTTGTAATCCATGATGGAATTTTTGGTTTTTTGTAACCCATAATAGAATTTTTTGTAATCCATGATCGAAATGTTTGTTTTCTTTTCTTGTAATCCATGATCGATTTTTTT